AATGAATGTAAAGGCCCCTTCGTAAATGCCTGTTGAGTCTAATCACCTTCTAAGAGCTCTGCACTCATGGCAAGTCATTCCCATCCCCCTTGCCTTCAGCCAAATTTTCCCCTGACATAATGGTCACGTCATCTGGATCATAAGGGTTAACAGTATCATTAGGTAACCACAGAAGGCAACACTTATGTGATTGCTGCAAATCTACAAATGAAATGTGCTGTTAGATTTCTCTCTCTCTCTCTCGTTCTTTTGACTTATTTTTTACTTCATTTTGTGATTTTCTCTTTCTTCAATCTTCTTCAGTATTACAGAATTTGTAACTTTAAAAAAATATATCAGGATTACCCTCTCTCTCTATTTGCCTTCCCCTTATTCCCTTTCACTGAATGTACTTGCACCTCCCCCACAGAGCCGTAAGGAGGAGGGCTCCCGGCGAGAGCACAAGCACAAGGAGCGGTCCAAGTCAAAGGAGCCGGAGGGGGAGACGCAGACCAAAGAGAGCAAGAAGGAGAAGAAGGAGAGGAAGAGGGTGAGTGCAAGTTTTCCTTGAGTGGGCATTTAGGGGAGGGAAATGTGCAGTGCTTGGTATCAGGCTGAATTTGGAGATTTAATAGATTTCATTCTTAAATTTTGGTGGTCTTTTATATGAATATGAGTGTCAAGGGACAGAGGGATGCTATATGTTTTATTTTATTGCAACTGAAATACAGTATGGAATACATAGATGACCCTTATTATTACTTGGCGCAAAGTCCATGCATTTTGATCCTGAAGCACAACTACACTGGCACTAGATCAGATCGTTTTACCGTCTTTTCTTTACTTTGCTTTTGAGGTTTTCTTAGGCCATCCAGAGCCTTGTTTACAAAGAGGATTAGCACTAGGAGGAAGGCTTTTAGCATGGGTTCCTGACTTGGAATGTTCAGACGCTTAGCTACTACAGAAACAGAAATTTATCATCTCCATGCAATACATTGTACTTTTCCTCTCTAGCAAGTTGCTTATAAACCCATTTTTATTGACACCTTAGTAAAAGTAACATTCATAAAGCAAGAATTCTCTCTCTCTCTCTCTCTCTCTCTCTCTCTCTCTCTCTCTCTCTCTCTCTCTCTCTCTCTCTCTCTCTCCCTACCTTGTTATTTTATGGTTATCATGCTTTTTCTTACCATTTTGATCATTGTCATCAATCTAAGACATTATCATAAAGCTGCTGGATCTGGGTGCCTTGCAGTTTGCACAGGGACCAAATTCCTTGCATTAGGTTTACTTGTGTGGTTTGTAGGCCCGGCCCACACAGATGCTTCTGTGCAATATCAAGGTTCCTTGCCTCCCCTTTCTAATATTTATATCTCTCTTTTTTTTTCTTTCTTTTTTTGCAAGGTCATTATTCATGTTGGGCTGTATCAATATGTAATACACTGCTTTTATTGCACAGACTCCAAATTATCTTTGTAGGTAGTCTACAACTCTGTGTAATGAAATTCAGTAACTTTGTGTTTTTTGTCTTTTTTATTCTCTTTTCTGTCTTTTTTCCCCATTGTGTCTTCCTCATACTTTTTTTGTTTGTCTCTTTTTGTATTTTTCCATTTTTTATGACACACTGCTGGTCATGGTGGGCAGGATTAGGATCAGGAGCATGGGAATAGTATCTCCCCTGATCTTTTAGCATGGCTTACAGACTCCACCCTTGTTAACTGGTGAAAGTAATGCAAGAGCCCACTGAGTCTAATTTTCCTCCAAATGCTTTATGAGCTCATGGCAAGTCATTCCTCAAATTCCAGGCTTCTGACAAATTTTTCCTGAAAGCATAATCCCGCCACCCTGGCCCTCAGCCCATTATTTCCATGACTCCATGTCCCAGCCATCAACCAAGTTTTTTCTTGACATGACAGTCACACGACCCAGATCCAGGGATTGATATAGCAAATATTTTGTTTGATTATTGCTTCTATTATTATTGTAGCATCAACACTGATATTCTGTAGTTGTCATCATTGATATCATCAAGATTTTCTGGCCTAAAAGAGAATTTCTAACATAAAATCATAGTCAGGGTAAAAGGTCTGTTCACACATGTACGCACGCGCACACACACACACACACACACACACACACACACACACACACACACACACACACACACACACACGTTTGTGTGTGTGTGTAATTCCTCTTTTTCAACGTATTTCCCTCTTAAGAATTTTATCATGTCATAGTCCCTGCGCTACTGTCAACTTTACAAATGTGACAAGGTTCTTAACCTATTCTGTTCACACTTTTACAGGACCGATCCCAAGATGAAGCGGTGGACTCTGATTTGAAACGGAAGAAGGATGATAGAATAAAAAGTAATGGCAGGTCTGAAGACGACCACAAACACAGGCACCAAACACACAGGGTGAGTTTTTCTTAACTGTGGTGAGCAGCTTAAATGGTATAAATTGTATAATTCCCATGCTCCTGAGACTTTGAATGCCTAATCTTTAAAAAAGTCAGGAAACAAACTTGTAGATCTAAAAGGATGAAATGAAAAACAGCCACATAAAGAAAGGAACAAGAAATGGTGACAAGTCAGACTAGCCTGTTCGTGAGATGGGAAAATTAAAGTAATCCATTTTGGGTGTACAGGACTAGAAACTATTTAGGTTCTTTTCTTTACACTTTCATTTCATGTATTCAGTTAGGGATGATTTTACATTCTCCCTTGGAAATGAAGCAGGAGGAGTTTAACATAACAGTGAGATACAGTAAGAGACAGATTTTTCACTAAAACACACCTTTCACTTGCAGGCGGACAGTGAGGAGTATCATGACCGATATTCAAGTGATCTCAGAGGAAAGGATTACCGAGAATATGAATACGAGCGAGATTATGAGAAGCATCCCCCAAGCAGACACAAGCGCAAAAACTAACCCCAGTATAGATTTAGTTCTTCAAATTGTGTTTATAGGGCTCCTGTTTACAAATGAAGTGTTTGACTCCAAGAACATGCCTCAGTCATTATGAAGTCCAGACACTTAGAATTCCTATAGAAGTTTTTGGGTTTTGTAATGTTCCTATGGTCCCTTTATAATTGAAAGAACAAATTGTGTTCCCAACAGAATCAGGGCTGATGAATGTCTAATTAATTCTTTTATCACTGTTCAATGTTTTGTTACTTTTATGTTTCTTCGTGCATTTAATGATACAGGAAAGCAGGACACAGAAACAAATGAGTATATGTATATGTATGTATATCTAGACACAACACACTCAGATGCTCATACTCTCACATACTCACACAAACACAAAAACAGATGTGATAACATGCACATATAGAAATACACAGAATCACAAACACACACACATATAGTATTAATTTCAGAAGTTCTTGGTTTACAGACAACCATGTTAAGAGGGTAAAGCGTTTTTAGGCGGTGAATTTTTCTCTTTCTCTCTCACTCAAAATCTACTACTGGAAATTAATAAACGGACCATAAAACTTTTAAATAAATATTAATGTTACTGACCTTTTTTTTTTTCTTTCTTTCTTTCTTTTTTCATTTTCATTTATAATTATTATAAATTCCCTCCCCAGTCCATAAATGTGTGTATATATTTTTTTGGTTTCCTTTCCAAAAGTAGTCAGATCTTTCATCACATTGGCATACACTTATTCAAGAATAAGTTTAAAAGTTTTTAGATTGTTAAAAGACAATACAAGTGTTAAAAAAAATAAAACAAAACAAAACAAAAAAAAACAGGCTTTGAGCATATGTGAAGATGTCAGTGCTAAACAAATATTTTACCTCATTTACTCTTCCTTCTTTTTTTCTTTTTCTTTTTTTTCCTTATCTATTTATTTATTCTTTCATTTTTTTTAATTGTTAGTATGAGTAATTGAGATTTGCATTGTAATAAATAGTCCACAAACTTCAAATATACAAAGCCATTTTTTTTTTCTAATAATGATAAGTAACAAGTTAATCCAGAGTGATGCTAAAATTTTACCCTAAAACAGAAATAAAAGGGGAGAATAAAAAGAGCAATGTACATAGTCATAATTTGTGTACCTGGTCCAAAATGGCTAACCATTTTTATGATAAAGAAATAGTTTTGAATGGTAAGAAATAGAAATAAAAAAGTTCAAAAAAAAAATAAAAATAAAACATTTTTGTTGTGTATATGATATGTCCATTTTAAGGTACTGCAAGGTATGAAAATAGCCAGCTTACACAATATGTTCTATTTTACTGGTGTTTTGGTATTGCAACTTGTGGGATCTCTCTCAATCCACTGTACGTTTTGAATGCACTGTGAGTAATGTCAAGGTTTGATATGTGTGTGACGTTTTCATACATCCTATATTTTGTATATTGAGAGCATTATTTGACGAGTGAATAGACTGTCTAGCAGGGTAATATGAATTTGATGGTTATGTTGAATAAGCAGAGTACAATGTTACTGTTAGTACTTAAATGATAAAGCAACTGTATTTTTTATTTTTATTATTATTTTTGTTTTTGTTTTAGATAAATCAGTGAAAGACTTTGTTTTGTTATTGATATCATCATTATTAGCTCCTTTTTTAATAATTCTAAATAACATGTCCACACAGTACTTTTTTCATTTCCTTTGTCTTTCTTTTATCCTTATTGTTCTCTCTCTTTTCCTTTTGTTCTTTAACCTTAAGTGTTGGTTCTTGTCATATCCTGCATCATTGATTTTTTCCACAAATTTGCAATCTTCCAGTAGTCTATGTTGCTCAACGGACTTTCAAGATTTAGGATCCCAGAGAGTAAATGCTATTCTGCTGTACATGGATTGACTGTGACATTATTGCACATAGAATTGCAGTACATAGGAAGGAACAAAAAGAAAAAGGGTATACAAAGAAATAGCATAAATCATCTTGTTTTAGTTAGTACTGTGAAATTATTAATACACACTTTACAACCAGCCTGCAATATGTATTCTGTAAGGTAAAATGTGATTATAATAATAACATTATTTTACTGTA